GCTACCACTTCCTGAGGTTGATCACGGGCCAAGCATTGAGCTTATGCATATGCATACCTTTGATTTCATGAAGAAGTTCTTCCTGTTATTTTCACGTTAGATATAAGGCATTCTGGGAATGGAGGTTAGGAAACCTACCAGGGTTCAATTTTCTAACAAGTGCAAGAGCAGGGTTTGGAATTCAGATAGTAAATCTAGTAATGGGCCTTTCTCCCAAACCCAGGCTGTCTCTCAAGGCCTAACCTGAAACATGGCCCTCAATCAGGAGGCTGATAGAGCAGACTGACAAACCCTTTGGGGAATGTAAGGCAAACTTACTGCCTTTCATCAGATTTAGGACCCCATTTTGCAGGCTAGCCCCACCCAGTCATCACAGATTTGCTGCAGGAATTTTGAATGCACAGGCTGTGTTACCTTCTTTGCATTAACTTAGTGATTATCACCAAAGGAAGATGGCTGGGGCCTGAAACCTATCCCCTAGGTACCAGGACACCACCCTTCACAGAAAAGGCTACCAGAGACTTCATTCCTCACAAACTCTCCCAGTCTGGGGCAATGCTCACCAAAAATGGTACTTCTTTATGATGACTCCAGAGCCATTTGCCACTTAATGACGCCCAGCTCTGTACTTGAATTACAGAATCATCTCAGTTCACGCTCACAACCACCTTACAGGGATGTTATGAGTAATTTCTGCCTTGAAAACTTGCAGCTCAGAAACATTAAGTGACACATCCCAGCAGGTAGCTAATGAGTAGTAGAACGAGAGACTCTAAATCCTGACCCTAAATCAAAGTTGTTTTTTTTAAAAAGTAAAAGAATATGGCTATTGCTAACTCAACACAATAGAAGGTATACTGACAGTGGGTCTAAACATGTCCTGGAGTGTCATCTGCATATAATATCTGCAAAGCTACCTAAGGTGCTGACAGCTCCACCAAGAACGTACTTGTGGAGGTCACCTGCATGCTGTACAGAGGGTGGGCAATTCACAAGTGAGGCGCATAGAGTCCACTTATCAGGCAGATCTTATTCTGTACCTTGTGAGGCCCAGTTATTGGGCCTTGCACCCCCTTTTCCATCTATCAAGCCAGGATCCAGAGGGAACAAAAGCACACTGTTATGACAAAGAAGACTGATGTATGCAAGGTACCTCAAGCTCAGTGAAGCAGTATTGCCAAGCGGCTTTCATGCGTTCTTCAAAGAAGCAATGGGTTAGAAAGCAGACACATATCTCAGTTTCAGCTTGCCATCAGAATGAGAGGTGATTGCTCCCGGCAGCCTGGACCCAGGGGGGAATGTGAAGACTCCTGCTCTGTGGCTTCTTGCTCTGTCCTCTCAGGAAGGTGGCCATTTGTGATCTGCAGGCCAAAATACAGGCCAAACCGTGGATTCTGCTCTGTTAACCCCATACAGCCAGTAGGCAGAGCGTTGGTGAACTATGTTCTGTGTGACAGACCACAAGTTTTCCAATCTGGACTTAAGAGGTTGTAAAACACAACAAAACTGGCTACTGATTGGACGGTAACCATCCGTTCCCAAAAAGCTGTGACTTAAGAAAAGCTGCTGCCAGTTAGAAGGAACCCATTTCAATCACCCTTGAACACAGAAGTGACCTGCCCACACAGATGCTTGTTTGTTTTGTTCTGGAAGGACCAAGTCTGCAGGGACCTCGGCCTTATGTGAGGCTAGGAGACAAAACACTCCCGACTGGGAGTGGGAGGGGCTGAGTGCATTCCAGGCTGCTGTCCTCTGGGACTGGCTGCCTGAACCAGCCAGGTCTTCACATCCCCACCCACTACCCAGAGAGGTCTCTTCCATCTCTCTGACGGAGGCTCCATGGCGCTCAGATAAGCCACAAGGCTGTTCGCAAAGGCCCAAAGTAATTTTAGACACGCTGGCAACAGATGATGGCCAGACTCCCTCACACGCCCACCTGTCCTCTTTCCAAGGTGGGAAACTCTCTCGAAAATTCAAAGGGATTCTGCTTTAACACGTCTGCCCCAGTGGACTGCTCTGCCTTCACATTGGCTTCTGACCCTCCTTCTTCCTCTTCTCTCTGGAGAGGGTGGCAACAGGTCATGTGGCAAACATACCTGCACACCTACCAGAGCGCTCCGTTCTTTAAGAACTTCTTACATCTGGCTATTTCTTCCCGGGGCTCTGGAGTGTCGAGGACTTGGGCTTTGCCACAATTCATGCTTCGCACTCTTAGGTGTCTTCTCAGAAAAGAGAAGCGAGGTCTGGAGAAAAAAGTCCTGTGACAGGGACTTTAAGTCTGACTTGTCCCCTTCATTGCTTGCAGTATAGGTCATGGCTAGCAGTCGGTCGCTGAAGCGTGGGATCTTGGGATCCACTCCTGCCCCAATGGTTCATGATGCAAGGAAGCCCCCACTGCTCTCACTCACTCCCCAACTACATATTTGCTAGAGGGTGCTATCCCTGGATATGCCAGCCCAGTACTCAATAATGCTCCTCTTTATGGAAATGGTTTACACACGCAGGTCCCTGTGGGAGAAAGCCTGGTGTTCTGGAGGTTCACAAGTGAATGGATTTCACCTGTGAGAATGAGTTTTCAGATGAATGAATTTCTTGACAGTCTAGCTGACTTAGCAGGGAATCTGCCTATTCATTCTTGGTGGAATGGAGACTTCCCAACTCTGAGCTTCACAGCCCAGGGTTCTCAGAGGCCCACCATTACCCCTCTATTATGCCTCCCGTCTCCAACTTTCGCAAGAATTAAGTAAGCTAAACTACAAACAGCGTAGCCAGAGGTCAACAAACATTACCTCCAATTAATTTTTGTAGGAGATGCAATTAAATCTCCAAGGAAGACAGAACACAGAGGGACAAGGACCAACACCTTTGTCAGCAATCTGCTGAAGGGCAATACACATTCAGTCAGCATCCCAAAGAAGCCCAGGCCTGAACATTATCATTCGAGAAGAACTTGGAGCCAATCTGGACCACAGAAGAAGGAGGAAGGTGAGGCTAGGGTAGGGTGGGGTAGGGGACCCAATGCAAGGCTTTAAGGTCACAGAGGTTTGTGACGAGAAAACCAAGATAAGGACTTGAGACTCCAGGCTCCAAAGGCAGACGGTGAGCTGATGAGCAGAAGAGGGGAGTACCTCCTTATGCTCTAAGCTTCGGACAATCTTCTTCACCTTGGTAACAAAGCCAACACAATACAATCAAGGTCAGATCATTACCCATGATCCTCCTCTGTGGGCAAAAATAGAGGAAAATGACCAATAGCTGTAAGTCCAGGAAGCCCAGAAGCCCCTGGTATATGCAGCTGGATTATAAAAAACCATGAAATTCTTCCATCTGGGTTAAGTAACAGCAGGCCATTTTCCCTTAGTAATCATCAAATGCTTGCCAGACATTATATAATTAATTAGTTCAAACCACAAAGATTTTTTTTCTTTTTTTTTTTTCCTTTTTTGTCTTTAAAGCATGTATTGCTCTATCTGGCTTATTTGGCCACTGGGTTTCTATGAGCAATAGATTGAAACTATCAGGTCACTGAGCTGAAGCAACAAAGGAAGAGGTATACAGAAAGCTCTGTGCAAAAGTTCTGTAGTGAGTGCACAGAAGGCACCCAGAAGTGTGCAAAGTGAGGGAATGAATGGATGCACTCACCCATCACCAGATGGTCTTGGTGAAAAGCCTTGGCCCTGGATCCTCTACCTCACAGATAAGGCCACTAAGGACAGCCATGAGAACCCAGGATCTCAGGTACCTGTAGCTTTCTCAATAATTCCTGGAGCACAATGAGCAATGAGTATAAAGTTGTTGCTCCCACACCTCTAAAACAGCACATTCTTCAGAGGAAACAAGTGGCTCCATGGATTTCTACAAGCAAAATCAGATGGAAGAGAAAGCAAGGCCCCAGAGCAAGGTGTGAAAAGGAGAATGGAAAGAGTTCACGGTAGAACCATCATGGACCCCAAATATCCAGCACCTTGTGCAAGTGTTTCCCGAGAGAACCACAGCTTTCCTTTAGTGTCACTCCTGCCTGAAGCTGCCTCACATGGTAGCCTGGTACTGCCCACACTAGGCCTAAATCCTCTCCTATAAATCCTTTCTGTAATTGGGAATGGTGGCGTGACTCTGTGATCCGATTTTCTTGGGAGGTGGAGACTGGGGAGATCCATCTTGGTTCCAGGCCAGCCAAGGCATAGATGTTTGTGAATCTGCACCTCAGTGGCTAGGGGTGGTGGCATGCCTCTATCATCCAGGCTATAGGGGGAGCGCAATGGCGGGGCACAGTGTCATGCACCTGCCATTGAACGCCACACAGGAAAACACAAGGAGGATCATAGTCCAGGATGGCTTGGTATACAGCAAGACCCTATTCTGAAAATAACCAATGCAAGCATGCTCGCTTGGGTGCATGCTTGTGTGTGTGTGCACACGTGCGCACGCGCACACACACACACACACACACACACACAAGTCCAACACTTTCCACCCTTCAAGACCTATAGAGAACTAATACTTCCAACCCTCAGTTTTTACAAGATCCAAACCAGTTGGATTCCATAAATTCTTCTGCTTCATAGGGCTAGCCACTATCTAATTCATCTCAATACTCCCAGACCAGAAAACTGTGATTCATTCATACATAATACATGCCTAGGAAGCGGCTATGGAAGAGATGAATAAGTGATAAACACGTGGTTGTAGGCAATGAGGGTTCAAATGGCATACGGTCTTCAAAGTCCTTCCATTCTCAGTATGCAACTTGCCACAGCAGTTGGCAATCACCTTCAGAGATCACATCAAACCACAGCCTAGCTCAGCACTGTCCCTTGGACTTGGCACGTAAGCGCCATGCTTGCTTGCTTTCCAAGGGCATCTTAGTCCTTCAGTAGTCTCTTGTTTGTCCTCCTTAGCATCTTGCCCCGCAGCTGGACAACAGGCAGCCCACAAGGGTAACTACAGCCTTTTCCAGGATAGACTAGGACCTGTGTCAGTCCAGGCTAAGCCTCACTTACCTCTCCTCATCCTTAAAGATGAATTTCCGCAGCTTGAGGTCTCGCAGCACCAGGCCGCCATCATGGCAGTGGGCCACGGCTGAGGCGATCTGGTAGAACAGTCTGGCCGCCTCCTCTTCCCTCAACTTCTTGCAGGTGCGCACGAAAGAGTGCATATCTCCATAGCTCCGCTCAAAGAACACGTAAGCTTTGGTCTCCCCCAGGAGGATTTCGGTGATTTGGTTGATGTTGCTATGGGCAGACAGGCAAAAGCACGGGGCCAGAGATTCCTGGTAGCAGCTGATCTCAAATACCTAGGACAGGATGAACAAAACCCGAGTCAGACACTCCCCCTACACACGAAATCAGAGGAGGCCGACCCCTCCCCGCAGGCTTGGGCTTCTCAGGTGACAGACAGCATTCTGCACATAGATAAGAAACATGACAACCATGGCTGCTACCAGCTGTGCAGTATCAAAAGTGTCTGAACCTTTCTGAGTCACCCAATCTTCCTGTGTATAACACAGTAATAAAACGTGGCTCAATGCATTCTGGGAGAAACTGAAGGTAATATACACAGGATAAGTTGTATTGTTCTTCCTCTAGCCTAATTGCCTTATTATAGAAAAACCAAAGGCTAAATTAGATGACACAGGTAACATCTGATTTACTTTCAGAAAACATAAAGAACAAAAATGCACCTGAATAAGACATTATAGAACATACTAGAAACTCACATTTAGTGTCTATTCTCTGCCTAAGGGTTCCCTACATTTAATATGTTCATCTTACAGATGTGGAAACTGAGGCACAGAGAAACAACTCTAACTCCTGCCCCCTGGTGGCAGAGCTAGGAACAAAACTGAAGCCTTCTCAGACTGTGGTCCCTGTTTCGGTAGGCTGGCTGCTTTCTTCTCTCCACACATATCTAACTCAATGAAACAGTTATGCAATAATTTCCTATGAATCAGAATTAGCCTGTGAAATGCCACCTCGCTGCTGCCTAAAAAGAAATGTATCATCAATATCTTTGGAACAAACCTAAGAGAAATGAACAGTACAGAGAAATCTCAAGGTTGGAAAAGGAAAGCTTTCATTCATGATTTAGGAATACTAGTGCTTGCAGTTAGCTGAGCATGGTGGCTCACCCCTATAATCCTGGCACTTGATACTCTGGAAGCAAAGGCAGAGGCAGGAACCTGTGCTACATAGAAAGACTCTGTCTTAAAAAAGAAAAGGAGGGAGGGAAGGACGGAGGGAGGGAGGGACAGAGGGACGAAGGAAGGGAGGGAGGAAGGAGGGAGGGAGGGAGGGAGGAAGGAAAGAAGGAAGGAAGGAAGGAAGGAGGGAGGGAGGGAGGGAGGGATGGAGGGAGGGAGGAAGGTGAGGGAGAAGGTATATGAGAGGCTTGGTTAAATAGCAAAAAGCAGACATAATAGAAATGTGCCTGCCCCCATCTTCTCTCACTCTCTAATGATGGTACTGGGACTTGAACTGGAGGCCTGGATGCTTTTTCACTAAAGGCTGGCACACTACCAGAGCTGCAGCTCAACTTTCTGGATAAGTGGCAGTAACAGTCTCACACTTTCCTGCTTGGGCTGGTTTCAAACCCTGATCCTCAGATCTTAGCTTCCTGAGTAGTTGGATTAGAGGAGTGAGCAGCGGCTCTCAAACACTGAGCTTCCCAAGTCATTTTGTGTCAGCAAGGCCATATCATCATCTGTCTGTGGCTTATGAGGGGGAGGGGGGGATTGGAATCACAAACCTTTTTTTTTTTTTTTAAATTTTTGGTCCGGTCATGGGGGCCTGAACTCTGGGCCTGGGAGCTGTCCCTCAGCTCTTCAGCTCAAGGCTAGCGCTCTACCAC